TTTCGTGGGGGTGTGTTGAAGCAGCCTTGAGAGGCAGCCTTGGCGTCAGATAAGGATAAACATGACTTTGTTTGGGGCAGGCAGAGATAATTTTCCTCTCTGCCTTGGAGTCTATAAGTGGTCATTCATGTCCACCAGTGAAGCCAATTTTACGTTCACAACATCCCCACACCGTCCGGCGACCCTCTCCGAGATGACATCCATCTTGCGTACTAACACAGGCAACGCCGCGAGAACATTGTCCAGCTTACGGTTCACCTCGAGTAACGTCCCAGTCTGTGAGGTCACCGCACGAGCGGCACATTCCATGGGCGCGGGTCGCACTCCAATCGCTCCCGTCTTCCCAAATTTCCAGAAAACCAGATATCCTCCCACTCCAATCAGAAGAAATCCAGTGATCATCAGGCTGAATATCCACAAATCTTCCACGTCCTCGATGGACAACTGAGAGAGGCACACGATCCACCAGACCTCCCAAGAATCGAGTGCATATCCCGCTGCGAATGTCCCCTCGGGACAGGTGGGAGCCCCCTTCTCCGTTTTTGTCGTAGAAAAATTTTTATCAATCACGTTGAATGACCAGTTAATTAAGTCCATGTCCAAAAAGAAGTAGAAGTAGTGATTTCAGGAGCAATGCAGAGAGGTGCTCTGTAGGCAGACAGAGACAGAGAGCCTTTGGGGAGCAGATGAGGGAGCTGAGAAAAAAAGCGTCTGTACTCTCTGAAGGCTGAAGAAGTCCAACTTGCTTTAATTTTAGTCCTGTTTTAGTTGACTAAAATAAATTTATTTTTTTTATGATGCAATAATTTTCTTTCTTCTTTTTTTCATGAAACCAAAGAAATATGAAAATTTCACATTTCACACTGTGGACCAAGCTCTATATTTATCTGTTTTAACAACAATAATTAATGGAAAATACCAAAATGAACACTGACAGTTTGAAAAGGTTTCTCTCGGGGATAAGAAATCTGTATAATGTGCAGTAACTTTTGTAAACATGAAAGGAAATGACATCCTACCTTAAAAACAATAAAAGATGTAACCCCAATAATGCAAAGAGGTAAACTATGGATAAGAAATGTTTTCAGGTGTATTAATAAGTTTTATCTGCACTAAGGTACTAAGGTGGGCTGTCTGAAAACCTTTTCTCACTAAAACACCGCTAGAACACAAACACTGATCATATCCGCCAAAGCAGTGCAACAAAAACAACTCAACAACCAGATGTGTCACTCTGCCAGGTATCTACTCCTTGTACCAACCCGTCCCATTTCACTACTACCACTGTAACCAGGGGAAACATTGCAGGTGTACGCACCAAGCAAACACTTCTCAGATGGTCACATCTAATGCTTCTCCTCCCAGCAACGATAGTTTAGACATAAACTGTTCAGCTGTGACTGGTGGTTAGTTCAAACAGAGGTAGGATCTGGACTCTGGGTCTTTTCTCGTTTAGTCCCACCTTATACGTTTGCGGATTGGTTCTTTTTTCCTTTCTCCCACCTTTTCTGCTTTCCGATTGGATCTTTGTTACCGTCTCAACTTCTGCTGTCGTCATTTATTCGTTGACAAAAACGTTGGAAATGTGTCATAATTTAGTTTTTAGTATAAATTTGAGTTTTTTAATTGTTTTTTTGTTTTCACAAAAGTGTATTTATCTAGAAAGTGAAAAACTAAAACAAAAAACACATCCTGTGCGCTCATCCCAAAACCTGTACATAGTTCCCATCCTGCCAAACTAAAAGCACAGCTGGAAGGGGAATACAGGCTAAAGGGAGGCTACCAAATGTTATGGGTTTGCTGTTCACTAACTGTAGACGTAGGTTTTCTTTTTACTGACAAACTACTGCTTTACTTTTGTTATTGTGTGGACTGTTTGAAACTGTTCGTTGTGACCAACCTGTGCAATAATACCAAGGACACAACAACTTGCATTTGGGAGTGCATCAGAAAATGTCATCTTGCAGCTGTAAGATGTTAATTCTGCTGTGTTGCTTCTAAGAGCAGAGTAAGAATGTGTGGAGACTTCAGCACAAAGGAAGCATGAGGACCCGCGTAGCAGAAAATAAAACATTCAGCTGGAATTAACTCAATCATCACTGGAAAGGCGACTAGTATAGATGCAGCCTATTTATTTTTGTCTGCGTCACTTAAAAAAGGTACAAAACCATCTGGAACAGGTTGGAAGTCCTGCTTGTGCCCATATCACCTCCACCATACGCCAAAGCCCAATCCAAATCGCTAGTGTCTTCATGGCAACACCATGAATTGGGGGCCAGGTTCCTGACTATATTTAGTTGCTGTTGTAGATCTTTAAACTTACTAACGACCACAGAATTCAGTACATCACTTGATGTGAGACTGACGGAGGTGAATAGGTTTGCAAACTATCATTGGATGAACTGTGATGCAGTTGTGGAGATTGCAGCCTTTTTGAGACGCGAGCATCAAACTTTGGCCTTGGCTGTTCTGTCTAGCTATTAGCCCATCAGGCCAGAAGTTCACCGTGTTTCTCTGAACTAAAGTATTTCTGGAAGTTTAGGCAACTGAGAAATTATTTATGCCTTTTACACAGAAACACACTTCACATTGCTGAAATATTAAGTAAGGTCCAGAGTTGTTGCTTATGTTGTCAGGTCTCTGGAAAATGAAGTGAACACTCAATAGAGACACCTTGTTTGCAATAATGAAAAAGTAACGAATGTTCATCCTGGCATTAGAGATTGATCTGCTTACAAATAAGATATTTGCTACATAATACATCCAATAATGATATGTAGAATTATCCAACAGTTCTATTTTAAAGGGTGTGTTTACTGAGAAACCATCAAGTGCGTGAATACATAAAAAATAAATGTGAGAACATGCAGATTTTCTTCAGCCCCCACCATCGCAGAATGGAAAACGGGGCAGAAATCACCTGTCGGTCCTAAAAACAAAGCCTGGCCTCCTCTAAAGAGAAACAAGTTGATGATAAATGACCCGCACTTGTACAGCGCCTGTCAGAGTAAGGACTCCAGAGTGCTTTACACTACAGTGTATCATTCATCCATTCACACACATTCACACACTGATGGTGATGAGCTACAATGTAGCCACAGCTGCCCTGGGGCGCACTGACAGAGGCGAGGCTGCCGAGCCCTGGCGCCACCGGTCCCTCCGACCACCACCAGCAGGCAAGGTGGGTTAAGTGTCTTGCCCAAGGACACACCAGCCGTCCGGAGCCGGGATCGAACCTGCAACCTTCCGATTACTGGACAACCCGCTCAACCTGTTGAGCTGCTGCTGCCCAAGTTAGACCTCTTAGTGATCTCTCTTTCATCAGGAACATTATTGGAAAAGCAGTTCTGATCCAGTGGAACAGCTTTTTGGAGTCAAACATGTTTTCCAGCCAGGCTTTAGACGACACCACAACACTGAGACTGCACTGATTAAAGTATGAAATTATATTCAGGGTTTCCACCCTGATTTAATGTCCATCACTGTTATTTGTATTGCTGTTGTCTTAAATGTATGATGACTCCCGATGGAAAGTAGCCTACGGCTGAATCTGGTGCATTTACACAAACTGTAAGAATGTTCATTAATGTGCTTTGTCCTCTCAAAATAAACCAATAATCAAACCAACAACCCACCTAGCTCTTTCACCTAGTTGTCTGCTAGACTCTCTGTGTTTGGAGCACGTCATTGACTGGATGTAGTAAAACTTCATCAAGTTAAACAAAGACAAGCCTGAAGTTATGACAACACGCTTATCAACACCCTCATGGCCATCTGAAGGGCTCCAGCTTCATCCATCCATGTTCTACCATTTATCCAGGGTAGGGTCAGGGACAGTAGCTTTTCCTTCTGACTCAGCTCTCTCTTCACCACGACAGACCGGTACAACGCCCGCATCACTCCACCTGTCGATCTCCCGCTCCAGCTTCTCCTCACTCATGAACAAGACCCCGAGATACTCAAACTCCTCAAACTCCTCCACCTGGGGCAGGACCTCATCCCTGACCCGCAGAAGGCCTACCCTTTTCCAACTCAAGACCATGATCTCAGATTTAGAGGAGCTGACTCTCATCCCAGCTGCTCCAGCTTCATTCCAGTCATATGATGAGCGGGATTTGTCTTGGCAGTAACTTTGATTCTGTCAACCAATCACAGAGCAGTACGATGGTCTGCCTTCTGTTTCCACCATACTTTCTCTCACAAACATCGATTCTCACGGCTCGAACACACAAGATTAGACTTGATAAGAAAATATAAGATAAAAAATACAGATCTGAAAAGTAAGGGTGTGTGTGTGTGTGTGTGTGTGTGTGTGTGTGTGTGTGTGTGTGTGTGTGTGTGTGTGTGTGTGTGTGTGTGTGTGTGTGTGTGTGTGTGTAACTGAATGATGGTGGGTAATCGGCTACACGTTTCTTATTCTGTAACTACGTTCCATGTCGTTTTAGGATATTGATTCAGACGATGTAAAATATATCAGCTATTGGCCGTAGCACTGGTTGGGGTTATTAAAAATGACTGTGACTACAAGTGAACGTCAGCATGTGTTTATCTGGTATGCTTCTCTGTGTTTGGGGTTTTACTGAGCAAACTCAAAGCAGAGTGTCGATTACGTCATTTCTGTCTCTTTTACCCTAAGAAAATGAGGTAATGAATGGCTGCAGGTGCTGCTTTTTGTAATTAATAGTCTTCTAATTGGCTAAATTATTGTTCTGGCAGATGAAGTATGGGAGCAGACATGTGAAGAAAGCAGTTGTCTCTGAGGAGAAGACCAATTTGACTTTGCATAATGAAGAAAAAACAGTAAATTGCAGCCTCCCTCTCCCATCTGCCTGTTTCCATCTTCTTGTTGTTCTCTGGAGCCTTCTGCATTTGATCTTTGTAAACTGCACAAATGCTGCTAGAGATGTCTCACTGTCAGATAAACAGCATGTGTGTAATCATGTGTTTCATTGTCTGATCCAATAAAAAATCTAATCTATATCTTGTCTCTCATTTCACAGGTTCTGGTGAATCCGGTCGACGTGCACGGCCATGGACCTATCACTTGATCTCTGAGAAGGACCAGATTTCCCCAATTGTCCTCATCTTCTTCCTCCTTGCGTTCATTTCTTCTCCTGCAAAGCTGGTACATTAAACTGTCCAAAACCAGTAATCAGTCATCCACCTGCGGTCCTGCCTTCTCTGTTTCAACAATAAATCATGACAAACGTTTTTCTCGCCAGTGGCCAAGCAAAGTGGCCTTTTCTGCTGCTACTTTTGTATCCTGCTCTTCTTCTACTCATGAAGGGTTGGTCTGGAGCTGCCCCCTCAGGGCCGGAGTCGGATTCTTGCTCCACTTTAGTTCAGAGTCGCTTCTTTGGCTTCTTTTTGTCTTCATCTGTGTTCCCCACTGTGCCTTGTTCCTGGACTCTGCAGAACCCTGATCCACGACGGTACACCATATTCATCAAGGTAACCAAACCTACAGAGGGATGCATGCCTTCACAACTTCGCATTTTCCAATACGAGTCCTTCTTGGAGACAACGCGCACGTACCTGGGCATGGAGAGTTTTGATGAGGTGGTGAAGCTGTGTGAGGTCTCTGTCCCAGTGGGCTTTTTAGAAGCTGGCAAGCAATTCCTACAAATAAGGAAAGGACTTCCTCATTCTGGAGTTCCAAATCAAGATGCTGATGGGAACTTTAAAACTGAGTACCTTGTGGTGGGAAAGCGCAACCCTAGTATGGCTGCCTGTCAAATGCTCTGCCAGTGGCTGGACGACTGTTTGTCCTCCAGCACATCTAACAGGCCATGTGGCATCATGCAGATTCCATGTCAGTGTTGGGATCCACCGCCTCAGCTCAGCGCCAGTGCTGGGTGCTTTCACAATGGAGTTTACATGGAACGCTGTATATCCAGCCCGAACGAGAATGGAAAAGATGAAGTAACTGGTGAGTAGAAAGACTTTTAATGATGTTTGGATGAAAAATGACAAAAGTAATTACATTGCTGTCTGTGCTTGAACTGTGCAGCCTTCTAGAGGAGATGAAATGCTAAAACAAACAATTATTGTTGCCTCTTGGTAAAACAGCAAAATAAGAGTTGCTTTACTGGAAATAATGGGGAAAGGTTCTTTGTTTAGTTTGTTCTTGAAAGGTCAGTCCTACTATTTAGCATACACTCAGCAAGATGACGGAGAAATGCCATCCTCCATGGCAATCAACCCAGGAAAATGTGTATGATTTGAGAAAAGAGGACAATTGCCTGATATTGGCTCAGAAGCACATGAAGTGCTTCATCTGTAAAAGAGAGAAATCGGGACAGAGAGGCAAATGGAAGGTTTAAGGTTTCCCCTGATGAAACTTAGCTCTGTGACCTTGCAATGTCTGCAGCAAATTCAGTACCTCTGCAGTCCAGCGAGTGACACTTGATCGGCCTTGGGGAAGCTTTTGGGAACACAGGAGAAACAAGTACTGGAACTGGATTTTGGGGGGGGGGGGGGGGGGGGGGGGGTGAAGTAAATCGAGACAAAAGAAGAAGATAGATGGATAGAAAGGCAGGAACTCAGTGGGCTAAGGGCTTGTACCCCAATGTTTAATTCTCTACTGCTTGATCCTGGCTCCCCTCCATTTCTCGTTGGACAGGATGTGGCCTGACAGCTCCATTCTTGCTTCATCAGGACTATGGCCAGAGGGATGAAACACTTCTTGACTTCCCTTCCTCTTCTCAGCCTTTCCAGCATCTATCTCATGGTCACTTTCCCTAATCACCCTGCAGTCTTTCCATTTCCTTTTCCTTCTCAACTGAGCCACCTCCCTGCCTCATCATCCTTCCCTCCCCGGGCTGATCGTGGGCGGTTATTGAGCAGGTTGTAGGAAGCCTCTGAGCACGATGTTGCTGTGAGTATCTCCTGCTTGATCCTCCTCCGGTCTCCTAAGAATCTAATTTCCCAGTGCCACCCTCACCTCCTCCTCACTAGTTAACACATTTATGTAATCCCACTGATGGTGTGGGTTGTTTGAGAGACATGAGAAGAACACCTGAATGGTTGGGTTAGGAATATGTTGAAGGGGGTGTTCTTGGCTAGTTTTTGGAGAGTTCCAGTTCGGTTGTCTTGAAAGAGAAAACATTGTTTTTCCTGGAGTTAAGGAGTGGGTTGCGCCCAACAGTAACCCGGAATAAAGGCCTGACTCAGAAAGTTGGAGTCATTATTACAATATCTTTAAAAAAATGTATTCTACAGGTGTGGTGGCATTTATTTTGTTGTGGTGGTCTGACACGATCAATGAGTGTAGACTTTTATTTTGACAAACGTAGCAGGGAAAATAACGTTTTAGATGCCCATTCTGATTGGTTAGTGAAGCGCTACAGTAACACCCATTCAGGCGTTTTTGTAGCCCAACCAGAAACGCCCCACGGCCTGCTGGACCCTGCTCGAACATTCTGACTGGTTTTGTCCATGGTCGATCATTACATTGATTACAATGACTAAGGAGATTAAGGTCTTATTCTATATTAAATGGACTAGCAGTCCTCAAACATCATCAGATTTACAGCGAACACGTTTTTACCCGGTAAAATTAATGTTCATATATTTCATGAGGAAGATACGGATAAATGTGATGTGTTTATATTGATAATCCTAATGGATGGATGGATATTTCACCACAGAGGATGTGTGGTATAGTCCTCAGCAGTGAAATGCAAGATGATTTTTTTGCAATAATACTGCGTTATTTACTTAGTATGATGAGCTTTGTGAGCTATCTTGTCTCATCTTGGCGTATGAGTTGCATCTGAACACAGTGACCCACCAGCGACTAAAGCTAGTTGGGGTCTGGACTTTAAGAATATAGATCAGCTCCAGTTTAAAGTAAAATGCAATGTTCTAAATCCAGCCGGGTGAATTCTGGCAATGTCGGCAACCAGTTTAACTTCATTAGGAAGACAGGGACAGTGATAAATGTGATGTGTTTTGGATGGATGGATATTTCACCATGGAGGATGTGCAGTACCATCCACTGTGAAATGTGAGATAATTATTTACAATATTGTTTCTCCAATGTATGATTATGTGTGTTAAAATGATGCCATTTATTTAGTATGAGCGTTGCTATTAAGAGATAACTTGTCTCATCTCGGTGTGAGAGCAGCAGCTGAACCCTGTGATACCACCAGCAACAACAAAAACTGGTAGGGATCCAAACTTTTAAAAAAAAATCAGCTTTGGTGTAAGGTGAATCGATGTTAAAAATTATGTTATCAAGCCAGCGGTGAGTTTTGGCAAAGTCGGCAACTGGTTTACATTAGTGAACAGCCACAGTGAGAACTAAGCTAGTTAACAACACTTAATGTTTGTAAATACCGCTCTATGATCCCCAGGTGTGGTACTTTTGATAACTGAGCATGGGCCTAAACTAGGGCTGAGCGGTATGGCAAAAATGGAATATCACGATTTTTCCAATATTTTATCACAATTTTTATGCATGACTAGCATAACTTCAATTGCATATTAAAGAAGGGAAACATTGAATAAATAAACATTTATTCATATTAGGAAGAAGAAGCAAGCTGACCAAGAGAGTCTCTGACTTTGGGAACCAGCTTGTCTGGGGCACAGATGAGGATCTCAGTCTGATCTTCATTCAGCTGAAGAAAGCTCCCACCATCCAGGTTTTGATAGAGTCTAAGCAGGTGTGTAACAGCTGCAGCTTAGACATCTCATGGGGCTTAAATGAGATGTACAGTTGGATGTCATCTGCATAAAGATGGTAGGAGATTCCTTTGAAGGAGCTCAGGATGTGCTGAAGAGGAAGCAGATAGAGGAGGAAGAGCAGAGGCCCCAGCACAGAACCTTGTGGGACACCATGGGTAAGAGAGGTGGTGGAGGACCTAAACTTGGAGACGGCCACAGAAAAGGAGCGCTCAGAGAGATAAGAGGAGAACCACTCCAGAGCAGATCCTGATAGGCCTACCCAGTCTCTCAGCCTCTCCAGTAGCAGGTGATGGTCAACAGTGTCAAAGGCTGCAGTCAGGTCCAGCAGGACCAGAACAGAACCGTCCCCTGCATCACTGTGGGTCAGAAGGTCATTAGAGACCCTAAGAAGAGCTGTTTCAGTAGAATGAGCTCTACGAAAACCTGACTGGAAGCTATCATAGATGTTCTGTTCATCAAGAGCAGCTGTGAGTTGTTTAGCCACAACCTTTTCCAAGATCTTGGAGATGAACGGAAGTTTAGAGATGGGTCTGAAGCTGCTATGGAGAGAGGGGTCGACTCGGTTTTTTAAGAAGCGGGTGGATTACAGCGTTCTTAAAGTAAGCAGGGACCTGACCAGAGACCAGAGAAGCATTAATTATAGAGAGCACGCTGGGACCGATGGACTGAAAAGCACTTTTAAACAAAGGTGAGGGTAAGATGTGGAGGGGGCATGCAGAGGTCTTCATAGAGTTAACTAGTTTGGTTAACTCAGGCAAAGAAACAGGAGCAAAGCTATCTAGGATGATGGGCCTGGTTGGAGTCGGGAGAGGCGGCGATAAGGCTGAAGGAGAGATGCTAGATCTAACCTTATTGACTTTGTCCACAAAGAAAGACAGAAAGTTCTCACAGTCTGCAACAGAGTGGATGGAGGCTGTAGGAGAGGCAGGAGAGACGATGCTGCTGATGGTGTTAAACAGCACCTTGGGGTTCCCTTTGCTCTGGGACACCAGGTTGGAGAAATAGGAAACCCTGGCGTCTCTGACTGCAGAGTTAAAGGATGTCAGAAGATCCTTTAGGTGCAGCAGATGGACGTGGAGATGGGTTTTCTTCCACAAACGCTCAATTTTTCTGCATTGGCGCTTCAGGCTGTGAAGGGGGTGGGGGGGACCGGGAGGATCAGAGACAGACAGGACAGGAAGACAGGAAAATAAAAACAAAGAAAACAAAACAAAGTTCTTAACAAAATAAAATGTAGGTAGATTGATCCCACTACACGTCTGTACCTGTATGAAGCAGTAACCTATCAGCATGTAGTATTTATATAGTTGATACAATTCAGATCATCTTCAAAACGCCGTCCCATGCCCAGGGGCGTATCTAAGCATTTTGGGGGCCGAGGCAAAATAGACCCCTGCCAGGTATTTTAAGTTGAAGTGCTATCTGCTTTTATATTAGACTTTTTATATTTGCAATAAAGTCCAAAAGTGAAGAATTAATGTTATTAATTACTTGATTGTTCACGCTACCTCACAGCAGTGATCTGTTGTTAAAATAAAAATAAAAAGGTAATTAAATAAAAAATAAGGAACATTCTGGAACTGCTTCTTCCTTTTCTTATTTTTTGTTTATGTATCGGATCGGGACTCGGTATCGGCAGATTCTCAAAATCAAATGACTCGGACTCGAGGGCAAATAAACCTGATCGGGACATCCCTAGAAGGTATGAAAGTTTATAAAATGACATCACGCAAACCTTGTGCTGGCTACTCAGGAATGGTTGTTGTTGCTCTTTAATTACCGCCAGAAACCATGGCTCTCGTTTTCCAGGCTCATGCTTTAAGCCTTCTGACAGAAACAAGGATTTTGGAGGTTTCTAATTCTGTCTGCATCCGCCTCAGGACTCTGTCTTTGCTTTGGAGTTCCATTCTTTCTCTTACTTCTCTGTCAGTGGGAACAACCGCTTGCATCCAGCTGACAGCTGGAGGAATCCCACTTTAACTTCCTTCTTTCGAGTGCACTGCCTCCCGTGGAAATGTCAGAATTGGTGTGAGGTCATGTCAGATGTACAGTCGTGATCAGGGCTGTCTGACTGGCTGATGGTGATTGACAGCTACATGGACAACAGAGGCCTACACTGTTCAGAAAGTAACATCATGTGGGGAGAAGAAGTTGTCATTAACTCTCCTGACTCTCCTCCGGTTGCTGGCAGGTGTAAGGGTTGTGCGTTTCTTCGGTACAGTGCTGCTGAACTAA